GGCTCATCTTAAGGTAAGATTACTCCAAGTATGCATTTTGCGTAGCTGCAGTTGTGTACCTTAAGCCTTCCTTCCAGGTTCAGTGTAGATCTGCCCTCAGTCCACTAACAGCTTAGCCCTGCCATATTATCTGTGGGCAGAAGAACCCACATTTCACTTTAGCTGGGTTGTGAGCAGCTGTAAGGATCCACCCATGTGGATCTCTAAGGTGCTACAGGACCATTGTTGTTTTTAAAATTTTGTTAGTTACAGATTAACATGGCTACCTCTCTGAGACTTTCAAAATGGTTATAGTATTACATTCACAACACAACTTTCAATGGCTTTTTAGTCTCAGATATAACTAGAACTAGTACCTATATACATTTTTATATTACCAGATTATTTAATTTACAAAGTACAGCAATGAAGGGAGAACATTAAATCCTTTCTTTTACGAAATTGCAAATATTCCATGGAGTTGCTTCATAGTATCCTACTACAGTTTTCACTTTGTCTATACAGGGCTTTATAGTGTGGCTACTTTACAAAGATACAAGGAATTTAGCGTCTACACTATAGATACAGGCACACATACATTGTCTCATAGATACCGCAAGAGGAAAGTCCAAATCCTGCTTTCACATTAACAAGTACAACTCTCACTGAATTCAGTGTGCTGTGTGCAAGTATCTAAAGTCAATTTGGCTCAATGACTTTAAAGACTTACCAGAAATTATTTCTGATGCAGTAATATTTATAGTATAGATTCTTTAACTATGTAAAGAAATTTCAATGAGGTTCAAGAATAAGGCTCCCTTGGGTCATTAATGGTGCAGGCCAGTGTTTTTCAATTTCAGGCCTGTGGACCCATGTCGTCCACAGACTATGTCCATGAGGGTCTGTAAAAGGTCATTGTTGCCATAGAACAGTGATTTTTCAACTGTGATCTGTGGACAACATGGGGGTCCACAGAGTACATCTAAGATTTCCAAAGGGGTCTGACCTACATTTCAAATTTTTAGAGGTTAACAACAACTCTCTGACTATGGTTATCCAGCCAATTATGCACCCACCTTATTGTGGCCCTATCTAAGTTATATTTGCCTAGTTTATCAATAAGAATATCATGCGAGACCGTATCAAATGCCTTACTAAAGTCTAGGTATATGACATCCACCGCTTCTCCCTTATCCACAAGGCTCGTTATCCTATCAAAGAAAGCTATCAGATTAGTTTGGCATGACTTGTTGTTCACAAACCCATGCTGGCTATTCCCTATCCTTTGCTATAACATACATTCATTATAACTAACTGACTTATTAGTTACAAAATTCCAGGGCTACAATATAGCTCAGTGTTTCTTAAATTGTGTTTAGGCAGTCGGAGATGTGCCGCAGAGAACAACAGACTCAATAACTTCCCCCCGACCCTTTTATTTTTTGCTCAATAACTTTCCCCTAACCCCCTTTTTTTCCCCCTCAACAAAAAATCTATGGTGTTCCTCATAAAAAAAAAAATTGTTTGGTGTTCCTCAGTCTTAAAAAGTTTAACGCTGATATAGCTAGTAATGTGCGAGATTTTCCAGTGCTAATAAAAACATTTACTTTCAATAGTTTGTACGGTATATACAGTCAGGTACCTTTTACTGATCAATAGAAAATATTACACTTGGTAAAGGTAAAATTAGCCAAAAGGTCTAGTTTGGTAGAACAGATTTTCCCATAGAAGCAATATGACGGTGATATGAAAGTGATGCTTTTGACTGGGGAGTGAGTTTTAAGAGAGCAGTTCTCTATTGCCAGCAATACTGGAAACCATCTTCTGCTGTCAGCTATATTGAAAATGTTATGAAAGTTGCAAAGCCAAGCACTCAGATGGGAAATGCCAAAATGAAGGTTGGTTAATAATTATTTGGAACTTCTGAGTCTCCATCCCCTCCTCTGACCATTTGAGCATGCAGTGGCCTTCACTCTCATATCTCCTAAAACATTCTGGGTATGTCTACACTACCCTCCTAGTTTGAACTAGGAGGGTAATGTAGGCATACCGCACTTGCAAATGAAGCCCGGGATTTGAATTTCCTGGGCTTCATTTGCATAAGCCGGGCGCCGCCATTTTTAAATCCCGGCTGGTTCGAACCCCGTGCCGCGCGGCTACACGCGGCACGAACTAGGTAGTTCG